GCAAAATCGGCCCCTAGCCATGTGTGTTCATTTGTGGAATTAACTTCAATGGACTTGATACCTATCATGTACTTAGGTCGGCTTTTGCTGCCATTTTTCTTCAAAACCAATAAACATCATATCATCCTTAATCAGCATAATAAGGCACTTAATGTATTAATAAGTTTAATGTAAAAGAAAATAAAAGTTATATAAATTATGCACCGATCGATATTATTTTTCTAACTCGATCTTAGATTGACGGATCTATACATTCAAAAATTTCACAATCTTCACCTTTATTTTCCTACATTTATTCATAAAATTATTGTCCACAATGCATCAACTCGTCAAGTTAAGAAAACATCAACAACAACCAAATAACTCAAGAGATGCCTTGGACACACCTAACGATTTAGGCATGTTAAGAACCTTCTTCTACGATTGCTATATACCAATGAAATCTTCATGATGATTAAATGATGATGGTTGCAATTTATGTTGATGAAGTATTCTAGAATAAAGAAAGACAAAAGCTCCCTCTTTCCGTTTTGGGAGGAACCCCCCTAAAAAAAACCATTTTTTGTTTTATTTTTTTATTTGCTACGTGTCAACATACGACCAACAAGATGGTCCACGTGTGCAAATAACAACCCATTCAAATAGAAAAAAAATATTACAACTTGATTTACTCAAATAACAAAAATTAAAGAGCACATACTCAAATAAAAAGAAAATAAGGAGTTGGTACACGAAAAATACAATTAACTCTTTACTAATCACTTAGATATTTAGTGATGTAAATTTTAAAATATTTTCTTAAAATATTATGAATATAATTGTTAAAAATATGATAATCATATTTAATTTAAAAATAAATTTTTTCTTATAAATTTATTATTTCAAAAGCCAATGCTTGGTGTTTGGTTATCATGTAAGTCATACATAAGGTTCACGTTGGCCCCTGCTCAAAAATTGCCAAACACTATTCTATACATCCTTATCATACGAAAAATTAAGTTACAGAAATAGAATTTTTCTTAAAATTATATATAAATATAATATAGTATAAAATTATTTCGTCAATTAAATTTCATAGTGCTATATAGCGTGGTAAAGAAACACATATATTATCATGTATATGCATGCATAATTACTTAAACAAAATATTTTCTAATAATAAATTATTTAATTAATTACATTTCATTTTACTTAAAAAAATCTTGTTGATTATCGCTTTATTAAAACAAATTTTATGAAAATAAAAGTTCATAATAATTTATATTTTTTTTGTGAAATATTTTTCGTAATTTTATTGCTAATCGCATTGTCAATTTCATTTTTAACCAAACATATCATTTTCTTACTAAGACCATACCTACAGCTATGGTTGCCAACTACTGGATTTAAATTGAATCATAATAGATCTAAATCGATTTCGTTTAATAAATGGATGAAATTAGATCTTATGAATTTAGATTGGATTTTAAAAATATGATACCATATTCGAATCTTAACGGATGGAGATCGAATTTGTAGTTCCATCGAATTTATCATTTGATTTTTTAAAAAAATTTATGCTAACTACATTTAATATATTGCTTCAATATAAAATGTATTTCAATCATTATATGTATAAGAAAATATATCAAAATAATATTTCATCTATGAATTTTATAAAAAAATTTAAAAGGCCTCATAATTCAAAAGCATATAATCTTAATAGAAAATTTGCCTTGAACTAGGTAGAAAGTGCGATAAAACTAATAATAATAATAATAAGTAGTCTTCATGTTTGTTCACCCGGTAGCAAAATAAATATTTGTTAATTCAAATTAAAAGATGAAACTGTTACAAATCAACACACGAAAAGAAAGTATAAAAATAAAATCTATTAATATTGTCATGTATTTGTAACAAGTTCACAAAAATTTATTAGTACATGCAATAATTGTTACCATCAAATTTGAATCAAATAAAGTAATCACTTTTGAATATATTCATGGCTTAACTCCACAAAAGTTTCTATCCGAAAAAATTATTAACACTTTAAAAAAAAAGAGAGGTAAACTATAATTTTTGTAATTGGTTTATGAATAAAGAATAGAAATGTAATGAGTTTAAGTAAATAAAATACTATATATTTTTTGTTTTGAATTAGAAGTCAATTACTTATAGTAATTAGTTTTTTTCTCAATTTTTAAAAGTAAAAGATGCACGATAATTATCGATTACAACATCTCATACTCAATGTAGCTTCGAAAGCAAGAATAGTTGCTGGAACAATTAGAACTTAGGTCAAATTTTGCAAGGATAAGAAATATATCACAATTAACATCTCTTGGCCTTTAACTCTATGTTTATTTGTCACGTATCCACCTAAATGATCTTTCAACTGGGTGGCTTTTTTACTGCTTTGGCCTACAAATACTTTCTTACAATGCTTACACTTAACAATATCCTCTCCATATGTTCCTTTGAACTTTTTGAAATCTTTCTGTACTTTTGATGTTAATTTTCTTTGTCTAGGTAAACGTCGATTTTTAGCAGTCTCAAATTCCACAACCTGGTTGTCTTTATCTCCATTCTATATAGTTATCTAGCAAATAAATTAAAAAAATAAAATTTATTTATAAAATTATAAATGTAAACACTGTAGTTCTCAAATTCATGAAAGTGTATTGATATCAAATATTTCTACTTAAAGGTAATGTATGTTTTGACATAAACTAAAGAAAACTAAAATAAATACCATTAATCAACTATATTTATGATGAGAAATCGCATATGTAGTGTAAACTAAAGAAAATCCAAATAAATACCATTAGTCAAATATATTTTTGATGAAAAATCACACATGTAGTATCAACTAAAGAAACTCAAAACAAATAACAAACAAAATTAGAAAATTGAGAAATCTCAAGCTAACTTAAAGACACATGTATTTAAAAAAATATTAAAATTTCAACAAAAAGTCACATAAAAAACTTGTTCAAATTACGAAAATACGTATATTTTTTTTGCACTCATTCATTTCGTTTTTTATTTAAATTTTGCCCGTGCATCTTTTTTCTTGCTCTCTTGTTTCAATTTCACATCCAATTTGTTTTTTCATAATTATAAAAGACTAATTATATTTTTTTATGTTTAAATTTTTTATATTTTTAAAAAAAAGGTCGAGTTATTATCGAACCGAGATCAAGATAAATTCATATTTAATTCATTTAATAAACAAACTAACATATTTAAATTATGATCGATTTCGGATCATAAAAATTACTAACCGAGATCTATTTAACTAAATCAAATTTGGATCAAATTCATTCAATTGATAATCTAACACTCGATGTTAAACACACACAATGAAGTTAACATTGTTCCCATCGCCTCTACACTCAATAACAAACACATACTAAAGATTGGTTGTAATTGTAGTCTGTGATAAAAATATATATATATATATATTTGGTTAAAAATAAAATTGATGATGCAATTAGCAATTAAAAAAAATGGAAAATGATATTAATTATTTTTGAATTTTTACACAAAATGCTTTTTAATAAAGTAATAATTATGAAGATTTTTAAGTACCATGAAATATGATTAATAACATAATTTTTATAGTGTATCTATTTATATACAATTTTAAGGAAAATTTCATTACTATATCATAATTTTTGGCATAAAAGGATGAATAAGGTAGCTATAAAATAGTATAAAACAATCAACAAAGATATTAAAACAAGCAAAAAAAAAAAAAAAAGATCTGGACGATGGTGACGTGTGTTATAAAAAGAAAGGATATAATGGTCATTTTACTATTACATTTGAAATGCCAATTTACAGAAGCTAGAGAAGCTCCTACCGTTGGAGCATTCTGGAGTGGGGGCTCACGTGGGCCTCATGCATTGGTTGGGTTCTTACCAAACACCTATCATTTGGTTTTTGACTCTAAAAAAAACAAAAACAAAGCAAGGAGAAAAATAAAATGAAAAGACAACATTGTCCACCGCATCAGACGGCCACATAACTCATGAAAGGGAAAGACAAAACGAAGTCGTTAGGGGCCCATTTGTAGCGTAGATAGGTATGGGGGAAGTGTCTCAAATCTCAACGGCAGTTTGAACGGTAGGCTGGCACAGCATTTGAATTTTGAAAATTCGAAAAACTGGATGAGATGATGATGAGCGTTTGATTTGGGCAGTTGGACCCATGACCGAAGAAAAAAAAAATTTAATTTGCCTTGACGCTAGGATTTTAAATTTTAATCCGATTCTAATTGCTACTGCCTAACAGATAAACCCCCACATCGTCTCTCTCTCTCACTCTAATCGCCACGTGTCAAAGTAAGCCATCTGTCGAAAGAAAACAGCGAGTAGAGAGAGTTAGGGAGAGAAATGCTTACAGGATATTTTTTTGACCTCTTAAGATTTCCCGCCCAAAAGGAAATGGAGCAAAGAAGGAAAGAAGAGTTGCTGCTGATGATAATTTAAAATAAAAATTTACTGTTTGTTTTTTGTTTTCCTTTTACAATCAGATAAATTTTTACATACATAAAATGTAAATAACCTTTTAGTAGTTATCAATAGACTTACCAATATGCCAAAGAATTAAGATATTAATAAATAAAATTTTTATAAGAAATTTCTATAGAAACTGATGTATTAAACTTTTAGTTATGAAAAATGGGTCCTGTGAATTTTAAGAGTAATAATGTTTGAATGATAATTGTGTAGAAAAAGTTTTATATATATATAGCATTATTCCTAAAAAAAAAATTCTAGAGTTTATTTATGATGGGATGGGAGCGGTTAAAAATAGAGAAAAAGGGAGTCCTTTACTTTCCTCATTCGTTTCCTTAGTTTAAATTGACGACATCCATTCCTTCCTTCTGGACTGCCATATTAGTTTGAAATCAAAATAGAAAGTGCAAAAAAACAACTAGAAGACAACATAAAAACCATCGAATTCTATTATAGGAGTTTGGTGGTATTTCATTTCGCAAAAACAACAACATCATCATGGAATTAGAGAGCGTGAAAGAGCAGCAGTCTGCTGTTGTTCCTGCAGGTATATACTATAATCTTTGTTTTTTGTTTTTTTTTTCCTTCTTAATTTCGTTGTTTTTGTGTATAATGGAAATCTTTTTTTTTTTTTTTCCTTAATTTCGTTGTTTGTGTGTATAATGGAAATCAGGAAAATCCAAGTTAAGGTATCCATTGAGATCTGCCACCAAATCCAAGGATGACAAAGACAAACCACAACTCTCTCTTTCTTCTTCTGCTTCCAAGAGGTACCAACATCTCTGATCAATTCAAACTGTAAATTTTCTCACTTTTTTTCTTAATTAAACATATATTCATAGACTTTTAACTCTAGGGCTGTGTTTATTTTTCAGGGCAAGGCCTGCATCAACTCTGAGTAAAAGTATGGGTGTCCTTGATCTCTCCGGCAAGGACAAATCTGCTAAGCCACCTAGAAGGCTATCTATTCCTGCCAAGTCAGTGGCCACAACTGCTCTGAAACCACCAGCAGGAAACATCACCCCAATATCTGAGTCCAGAACCAAGAGATCTGCTACCAAAAATGATACCCCTCTTTCTAATTCTTCTAGGGCTTCAACCCGAAAGAAATTCAACGCGTTAGCCTTAGCTTCCTATTGGCTCTCACAAATTAAGATCTCTGAATCTGTTGCTAAGCATTCAATTTCTCTTGCTTTCTTCAAACTTGCCTTAGAAGCCGGATGTGAGGTATGCCTTGTATTCTCTGCCCTCTTTCTTAACTTTTTTGTTAACTGTCCAATGAGTTAACATAGGATGCTTTTGTATCCAGCCGGTTCAAATTCAAAGGTTGCGGAATGAGCTGAAATCTTATGTAGGTCGTCACGAGCTCAGTGATTTTGGGGAGTCTGTGAAAGAATTATTTGAGGGCTATAATATTTCAGACCATCAAGAACAGGTGCAGGTTTCTGAAACCTGTTCTCAGGTGCTGCCTGAAGAGTCATCTCGATCATCTGATGATGAAGTTCGCAGCTCTCTTTGTACAACGGGAACAAGGAAACTGAGGCCGAGGTCCTTAAATGCTGATGCTGCTCGTGTTTCCACAGTGACAGAATCAGCCAACAAGGAGACTTCTCAGAAGAATACTACATCAACAAAGACCAGGGGACATTTGAACAAGAATACTGAAAATGCAAGGACTGCTTCAGACACCGGGAGTCGTAAGGTACAGAAGAAACCCCAGAAGGCTAGTAAGAAAGAAACGACCCAGGGCAAGATCAAGAAGCAGGGAAAAAAATCTGCTGCCCAAGAAGGTAAGCGCCTACACATTGATTTCCTTTCTGCAATATCCTGCTTTTTGATCTGGGTGTAGTATTTAGCTTAAAAGGTTCAATGTCATTACTTCCATTCACAGATGGCGGTCCAAATAGCCCTTCGGCTGTTGCTCCGGCTACACCAGAAGAGAACAAAGAAAACATGGTAAAGTGCTCATTGTACACAAACTGTATTTTTTAATGTTTTTCGTCATTAGGGAACCAGTAGTAGAAAATGCTTGAAGTTGGGATGGATTTTTGTAATTTGTACTTCATACTCGATTCATTTTTTTATAGTAGATTTCTATTTCTATTGACAATTTTTTTTCCTCTTCTATTTTAGGATGCTCCGCCACTGGAAGAGATCAGTCAAGCCAATTAGGAAGACATGCTGCCACAAATTGCTGAACCATTTCATTCTCATACTCGTTGGGTTTGCCTAAGTGTTTTTTTTAGTGGGCGCTTTCCTCTATATAGTAGGGTGGGTGAAGGTGTTTCGGTCTGGTCTGATGTTTGTTTCGCTAGTTAAGAGTGTTCAAAATTGGAATTGTTTGTGTCTCTGTCTAGTATTGTAAAATTGCCGGTGATACAAATTGTATTTATGAATTATTCAAATTTATTTGTTTTGGTTTCAGTGTCAGTAACCATTACATATACCTTTTTTGGGTGACATGACCGATGCTATTCGCTTTCTTTAGTTGGATGCAAATCATGATTCTTGACCACGTTGGTTTGTTCTCATTGTATGGTCTTGTTGAAATTTGAGCACAAGATTTAGTTTCTTTCAACATTTTAGCAAACGTCAGAACGATACCTCATTCTATAATCCGTACGAGATGGGGTGGGACTACAGATTTTGTTCCTGAATGGCCCTTTTTGATCAAGCATCATCCTATTGCTGCGATCGGGGTTGAGGGGTTTATCAATTTGGAAACACGCATGCTAGAAATTAAACCATTTTTGTTTAAGAGTTTTGGTTGAAAGGAGTTCATATAATTTGGATGCAAAGATGCTCCTGCACGTTAACATTACCTTTTGTTGTAATTCAATCCACTTAATTAATAGAATTCTCATCTCTTTGGGACAACCTTCTAAAAGATTGGGTTTTTCGTTACATTTGATACTTCAAATACATCGCATGATGGAGTAAAAGAACATCTAGTGGCATTGTACTTCTAATGGAATATCCACCATTATCAATTAGGCCACCAACTTTTATATTGAAGCATGATGAAGGTTTCAATAACAAAGAGAGCAAATTGATACACATTTGTACTTTTACACAAGCATAAAGACATGCAACGGACAAATCACGTCAAAGCACAGTGCAGTTGAAATAGGGACAGAAGCCATGCGGGATACAGGAGAAAAGACGATAAGATACCCAACGATTCTTACAGAGGGCATGTTACTTGACACATGCCTTCAAACCTTCAGGCTTGGTCTGCCCTACCAGAGCAGCATCTGGAGTTTTAATCTGCTGTCCAGCTCTGCTCAACAATTTCCCTCACTCTCCTGTTGTAATCCCGCTTGTTTTCACTGAACATCCGAGCAGCTTCTGAATTTGCAGGAGAATTGGGGTTGGGGTCACAGAGCAACGACTGAAACAATTGCATGTACAACCTCATTAAACAGAAGTAATTTGTGCAGTAAAATTACTTGAGGCAAATTATATTGGAATGCTATATTATTGTTGAAGGTTAGTCTCTGAGTTACAAATGAAGAGTAGATTTATGATGTCTTTTTGGATATGGATTCTACAGTACTCAGTAATTTAATTAGAAAGTGTAAGCCATCATATGATGGAGAGGTGTAGATAGAATGTGTAGCTACTATTTATAAAAGTTTAAGAACATCCATGAAGATCGGTATGTCTCATACAAGTTCTCAGTAAAGAAATTAAAGCTTGTTCCTGTGTGTTCAAATCTTTAAAATCCCTTCAAGAAATATAACTCAAAGGCAATCCAAGTCCAAACTAGTGTCAAAGATAAAAAATAGTCATAATGTGTTCATTTATTGCCCAAGTTCATAAAAAATTACTAACACCAAGCATCCCGCATTCATCTGATCCAGCATTATGCATCTGTGTGTTGATTTTCAAGCTATCTCCCAGTCTTCTATTATTAAAACTTACAAATCAACAGTTCTTTAAGGATTTCTAGGCACTCTTACATCAAAACTTAATGGCAGATGGGGATGTATGTTATACTTTTTCTGGGAAAGGAAAGGGAGCACCCTGCTGAAATCATTCAAGATGTAATGCAGACGACAAAATAATATATCTATGTGATCTTAATTAGATCCTAGAATTCAGGGGTATTTAGTAATTTCAAGGTTTGCTGGAAATCTGTTCCACATCCTACTTCACATTCCAGCAGAAACCCGCATCAATCAAGCCTAAACAGCCTCTGAAAGTCAGATCCAGAACAGCCCCCAAGGCTGTCCTGCATCAAGATGTCTTCTATGTATGGCATATAATTTGTGAGCACAAATGACATTCATCAAATACCAAATATGCTGGAAAGTTGGAAATAAAATTTTGATTCACCAAAGTTCTCTTGTATAAATGTCAATTTAGAAGTTGGAATCCAATAAAATGTTGTTTGGTTCACTAGCAAGTGGAAAAAAATTCATTTCAAAATTCAAAACATCTCTTTTCATGTACAGTTTCTTTTCATAAAATGTTGTTTGGTTCACTAGCAAGTGGGATGCTATATTAAATTTATTGCTATAGAAGGTACCATTATTTTCACTGGCAAGCTACTTCCCCATTCAAGACATCTCACCCCTCCTTTTCTTTTCATGTACGGTTTCTTTTCATGTACGGGCAGATGGCCTGTGTTGTCTCAAGTGAATTGACAAGGGAGTTTTTGGAAAAATTAACAATTTCCTTAATAATCTTAGTTTTCCTATATAGTTTAGAAATAGTTTTGTGATTTAGATTCTTTCGTTGCTATGTGATTAGCATGCGACTTTTATTAGAGATTTCATTACCAAAAAGTACTAGGATTAGGGTTTAACAAGCATAAATAGGGTGTGCCGAAGCTATTTTACAGGTCATTTCTTATTTTCTATCAGTCACTTCAACATTCTTCAAATTTTAGCCACAGTGCTATAAATTGCTGCTTGGCATGTTTTCTCTTCCCACCCTACATCATGAATGCTAAAGTGCATGAACCATTTTTTTTCCAGATCGACAGTGCATTAAACTAGAGAAAGATAAATTTAAGAGTGCATGAAAGCATATATGCATTTATATGCATGTATCACTGATCTTGTAGAATCAACTAATCGCTATATCGTCCAAAGATAACAGGACATTTCTACCATACCTGTATAGAAGTGAGTATGGCTGCCACATCATATATAGGACTCCACTGATTCTGTAAAATATCCAAACAGATACTTCCATCTGCATAAACTGATGATATTCATAGGAAAAATTAAGCACTGATAGTCAGTTTAATGTGAATCATAAACTGATGCTATTCAAATACTTACTATTTGGATGAAACATTCGAGAAACAAATCGGACAGTGGGTGGTTTGTTTGGATAATCCTCAGTAAACTGAAGAGACAATTTAAACGTGCCTGGAGAACTCAAAAACAAATTGGTTCATGTAGATTTTAATTGTCACATGAAATAAATGATGCTATTGAAAAGAATATACAGTAAGGCTATTGATGCCAAGAAAGCAAAAAAAAGGGACCAAAAATTGCATATGATGGTCTTTTTCACTTTAAATTATGCAGCAAGCAAATATGGCTGTGTAGCTGACCTACGACTAGATAAATTGTCATTATTTGGCAGTAAACATGCAAGCTAACAAAAAGTAGACCAGTCAAATAGCAGCTTTTCTTCAGCTCCACCTCAGGCCTAACCAACTTCAAATCACACATCATGTCAAATATTTGATTTTGGCACAACTGACAGACCACAGTTAGACAAACTAAAGCTTCTCTTCTTTCTTTTTTAAAATAAATTCATTAGAAAGAGAAGAATGCACAAGTATAGCTTAAGAAATAAGTCATCTGGCTAAGTAAGGAACTAAACACAAAATATTCAAATCACGAGGCACCCCAGTCTTGCTGACTGCTTAGTCAAGGTCATTCTTGTGAAAGCACTAGAAAAAAACACTCTAAACAAGCACAAAATGCTATACCAACCCACAAAAATAGTGTCGATGTGATAGTACTCGACAATTCTGAAAATCCTCTCCAATACAACACTCAAGTGGGAAAATAAATAAATAAATAAAGCACAACACCACAAAATCCTACAACCCCCTGCTCCAAGAATCAATAAAAAGGTTGTTGAAACTTGACTTGTGCTCGCAAAACTATTTAGCTTCATTTTTTGTTTAACCGAACCTCATTAGTTTGTGTACTAAAACTGAAATAATTCTGATAATTCTCAAACTACTGAAAAATGGAAGATGTAAGATTTGGCTTTGAAGCATATTATATTTGCATGTCCATGCATGGTTACACACACCAATATGCAGTATAATGCAAGACTTCTACAGAGTTAAGCCCCAGAATGTTTAGACTTGGCTGGAAGATAAAATGAATAGGTTAAATTTCAGTTTGTGCTTGCTTCACTAAGGTACAATTTCGAACCAGCACACAACAAGGAGATCAACACGAGTGAGTTATCATTTTGCATACCTAAAGAGTAATCTAGTTGTCCAGCATTTGAACATTTGTGAAGCCAATGAAACAGAAGCAGAAAATCCAAGAAATGAGCACAATACAGACATGTCAATTTATTTGACAAAACAAAACATAAATTTCTATGGGGCATTGAAACATTAAAAAAAAAACAAAAGCAGAACTTAAGCATAAAAATTGCATGGAAACATGAGTTTATCCAGCTAGCACATCCTTTCTCAAAGTACAAGCTTTAGAGCAAGGATTACTCACCTCCATCCCATGGAGTGTCATCAGGACTGCGATCAAAATCAGACAGGAAATGAAACCAGAAATAGCTTAACAAATTATACTAATAATAATAAAAAAATCGTAATATATGAACGGATGAAGATGCAAGCTAAAAACATTTGTTCACAATTCTTCTTAACTTACCCAAAAATCACAGCATTCCAAAGCATTATGTTGTTATCTTGAGGTGCTCCACTGATGCCTGCAGGTGGGTCTTGCTGCAACCTCTTAAAATCTCTCATCAATCTCTTCCGTGCGGGAGTCGACATTATGAAAGGGCACCTAAAACCCAAACCAGCAAACCTTTAGAGCAATCCCAACTCATTCACCAAACTATTTGGACAAATTAAAGTAAAATAAAAGCCAATCTAAGTTATAGCACTCACACTTTGACCATCACTAAACAAAACATAACAACAATTTGAGAAAGACCTCCCAAATTAAATTAAAAACCACACTTTGATCCGGGACAGAAAATATAAATAGGCAATCCTTCTAGAAGTTATTACAGAATCAAATAACTAGAGGGTAATCATACTAGAATCATGCGGTATTTGGCAAATTCAGATGTTGTTCAGGAACAAATGAACCCAATTTTTTTTTAAAAATAGATTCATCAAGTTATTGTAATAAATCTATTAATAAAATATTGGCTTTTCTCCCTATAATTCCAAGTATATCTTAAAATCCAACAAAACAGAAAGAATTCCAACGAAACCATATATCAATCAATCAATCTACCAGAATAGATTCCAAGCAGCATAACAGTTAGGGTTTACGATTCCTTTATATCTTCTGATCTTTTAGTTATGTATATACATAGAGATCTAAAAAAAAAAGTAACAGCAGATAGAGAATAGAGATATAAATAAATCAGTTACCTGTAAGAAGATGAGATGAGGTAGAGATAGAGAGGTGGTTTGAAATTGAGGACGAACTGAATTAATTGTTATGTTATTATTACAACAAAATCCTAAAAAAAAAAGTAAGAAAAATCAAAATGGAGAGTATGAGTGAAGAGGGAAAAAAAGAAGAAGAGAGAATCAATCTTCTTCCTTCTCCTCCACCTTCTTCTTCAATTCTCTGTAAAGAGAAAGCAAAAGAAAATAAAGTCCGGATTGGATGGATGGTGTTTGGCTTATTGGGTGCGTGATACCGACTCATCTGATTCCGTCCCCACTATTACCATCTACTCCCGTCTCTTTTTTATTTTCATTTTCGTTTTCACTTTTACTTTTACTTTCACTGTCTGTAAAAACTGTACTATACATAATTATACATACCTTTACCAATCTTCTGAATATCTGAACGTACCTTTGTGTATTTTAAAATTTAAACTTTGCTGTTTACCGCTAAATAACTAACGAAATTTTCGTACATTTCTCTCATTTTCCCACTCAAATCCTCCGTATATGTTATAAGCGTTGGCACAAAGTTATATATATAACATTGCAAGAATAATTTTGAAATATTCAAAAGAAATACTCATAATATGAACAAAAGTCATTGCCAGTGACTCTTGTTGATTTTTGTTATTGTATTTTAGTTCTTTTATTGACCCTCAAATAGAAGAAACAACAAAATTATTATTGAAAATTAACCCACAAAAAGATATTCCTTCCTTAATCACTACCGTTCACCATTCATGAATTATTTATATTGGAGGGATACCTCTAAATTACTAAGCCAGGTGGGACAGGTTTGGAGAAAGCTAGCTAGGAAGCAATTAAAATGAATTACAATACAAAATATTCAAAAAAAAAAAAAAACTCATAATATTTAAATATTTAAAGAAAACAAAACATCGAATTATTCATTATATTGAAATGTTTAAATAATTAAAAATAAAATAAAAGAATACCTGATATTTTCTTAATAATATTATGTAGTTAATTTATCCATTTACCTTATATATCAATCGTATTATTCCATATATTATTTTTTTAAAAAAAAATATTTTCATATATCCGTATATATTGATATTTTACACACACATATATCCTTAGAATATCAAAAGAAAATTTATTTTTCAAAAACATATAAAAAAAAGTTTCACAAATTTAACAAAACTTGAAAAGTTCTATACATATATATATATATATATATATATATATATTCAAAAAGTAAATTCAAAAAGTAAGTTAATTGATTGTTGGGTATGATTTTGGAACTTTATCAAAACTAGAAGGGTAATATTAGAAAAATAAAAATATAGGGGTTGAAGTCGAACATTGACGAATCCATTGGGACAAAAACGAAGTTTACCCCTGAGAGAAACACTGGTCATCAAAGCGTACCTTTCCCTTTCCCGGTATCTGTAATGGCAGATGGAGAAAATGCACACGCAATAGAACGAAAGCACGGCCATGTTTGTTTTATGTGTGACACATCAAATTCTTGCTATAAAACTTTGATCCCTTTAGTTTAATAAATCTAATTAATTGATTCTCATACTTACAAAAGCTATATAGTCAATCCTATGCTCTTTTCTAATTTACTATTTTTTTTCACCCATGATTTATTCAACTAAATATTTGTTATAAATATAGTAAATCAATTATAGGATTAATTTTTGTTGTAAATATATTAAGTCAACTATAGAGCGTCAATGATAAGGCTCCTTTAGGAAAACAATAATAGCTTGATTCTAAATATTTAGATTAATCCTAAACATGTATATATACATATTGCACTCATGCATTTTAGAATACATAGAAATATTTTTTAATTCTTATATTTCTTCATGGTATTAGAGCCATAGTGCTCTTTTTTCTCTTAACGTGGCCCAGATTGAGTCATATTTTTTTTGGAATCTTCAGTATCAATTTTTATACTTTAAGTGTACCAATGGCAAATGATAAAAACATATATGCGAAGACTATGATTTCTAATGTTGTTCATGTGACAACAAAAATTACAAAGCATAAACTCGAACAATCGTAACTATTTGGATTTGAGCAAAACGGTATAAGAGTATTTAAAGAAAACAAAGCATCAAATTATTCATTATATTGAAATGTTTAAATAATTAAAAATAAAATAAATGAATACCTTATATTTTCTTAATAGGCTTATGTAGTTAATTTATCCATCTACCTTATATATCAATCATATTATTCCATATATCATTTAAAACAAAATCATTTAAAAAGTTATTTTCATATGTTCGTGTACATACATATATATATATAACATTGGAAATTAATGAACATTTTGAAAAACTATGTTTTGCAAACTTATATCATTTGTATAGACATATTTCTATTTATGAGGTTTATGACATGATTTTTTAATCTTTTAGATTTTACAAGTGTTCATCGCTCATTGAATTTAATCTTAAAGCGGAGTACATTGACGTTTTAATTTATGATTAAGTCCTTCATGATGAAATGATATGGGGTTCGGTTTCGCCTAGTAAGCCACTAGGACTTTTCATGGACACTCAATTTAAAGAAAGAGTAATAAAGTAAAAGAATTTTATCAATCGAAAGAGACAAAATTCATTAAAAAGAATGTAAATATCATAGATCGAAAAATATGACACCTACATCATTAGTTATCGAGTCATTTGAAACCATTTGTTTACAATTGTAGACGGATCCACACTTCCTAAAGTACAAAGATGAAATTGTCGAAGGTAGTAAAAAGCTATCAAACTACTTATAGGAAAGTAGAATCTAACCGTTACGGGGTAAACTAAAGAAACCGCATAAACTTGTATTGAAAAAGTCTTGTCTTGTTGTTCGTGTCCTATTCCGTTAGTCTCCTTCTTTTAAATAGCTTTCGATTGATAACTACCTTTAATTCAAATTTAAGCATGAATAATTATTTGGTAACTCTCCCTTTATTGCTTTTAGGCATATTATCTTATCGAAATTAGTTGATTGCAAATCTAAACGCATCATTTCGGTTAAGCTTTATGGTCTCGTCGAAACCCCGGTTGGTTATATTACCAAATGCATCATTTCACTTAAGACTTAATGTTTCATTGAAATTTGGTTGGTTATACCACCAAAATGCACTATTTTACTTAAGACTTAATCTCCGTCAAAACGAAAGGGAAATGATAAATCGTATTCCTTACGCGTCGCCTATAAGATCTATTATGTAACCATATTATGTACACGGTTTGATGTCTCATATGCTTTGAGCATATGTAGTAGATATCAAGTTGATCCGGATGAAAAACATTGAATTGCTCGTAAAAAGCATTCTTAAGTACTTGAGAAGAACTAAAGATGTTTTCTTAGTCTATAGAGGAGATAAACTAGCGATGAAAGGGTTCACGAGATGTTGGTTTTCAAATTGACCATGATTACTCTAAGTCACAATCGGGATTCATTTTCTAAATGAATGATGGTACGATTAGTTAGAAAAGTTTCAAGCAAGAAATAGCAATGGACTCAACAATAGAGGTAGAATATATTGCGATCGCGAAGCAGCTATGGAAGTTGTTTGAATTTATAAATTTCTATTTGGACTACAAGTGGTTCCTAGCACTCGTTGATCCAAAGTATTGTACTCGCGACAACAACAAAGTCATGGCATAAGTTAAAGAACCAAGGTCTCATCAAAGGTCCAAGTATGTACTCGTGATGCTACCACCTAATTAGAGAGATTATTAATTATGATGATATAAGGATAAAAAGAGTCTACACCGATGATAACATAGTTGACCCTTGACTAAGCCTTTATCACAGCTTAAAACATGTGACCTTTAATCAAATATCAAGAAAAAAGGGACATGGTCGGTTAGCTCTAGTGTAAGTAGGAGATTATTAGTATAAGTGCTCTAGATCCAACCTTGTTTGGATATGTTTGATTTATTATAATATTATATTATTTATTTTATTAATAAAATAAGTCTTTTTATCAATTTTTATTATTTATATTTATTTAATAGAATTAGATAGAAGTCCATATGATATTCATTGCATTAATGATTGATTGAAAGATATGAGACAAACATTAATGCACTTAAATGATATCATGAAATGTCTCAAGTTTTAGCATTATCAAGAATAGACATTGATTATATGTAGTTACACATGTGAAAGTTATGATCATGCTATAGAATAGCAAGTATGAGATCTTACACTTATTGGTATGGTGATGCCAAAGCAAGCACTTAGGTGATTAATGTCAAAGAGCATATCACCTGGACTTGACTCGTCGTGAGAACCCATTTGGTTTAGTCTATGAGAATCTCATAAGAGATGGATATAACTAATACTTTATCTTGAAGTCATCACGATTATCTCATTAGAGG